GCCCTGAGCGTGGCAGGGAGGCAGGTCCAGGTGAGGGGCATCTGAGGTTGCAGCTCCTGGCGGAATGCCAGCAGGGCAGAAAGATGCCTAGGCAGGGGTGTCCAGTCCGAGGGGAGAAGCAGACTCCATTCTCAGTGTGGGAGTCAGCTGGGTGAGGGCTGGGCCCTGCCCTTGGGGAGCTGCCCTTCAGAGGATCCGAGAGCTCTGGCCTTTGAGCACGAAGACTGTGGAACAGCAGAAGGAGACTGAGGGTGGGCTTCAGGAGGAAGGGGTGCTGTGTGCCGTGGGGTTGGGAAGGGAAGATGGGGAGGAGTCTGGGTGCCCCAGGGCTGGGGCTGGGTGGGGTGAACATCTGACCTTCCAAAGGTTCACTGATGCCCTGGTTACCATCCGGAACCGGCACAATGACGTGGTACCCACCATGGCCCAGGGCGTTCTGGAGTACAAGGACACCTACGGCGATGACCCGGTCTCCAACCAGAACATCCAGTACTTCCTGGACCGCTTCTACCTCAGCCGCATCTCCATCCGCATGCTCATCAACCAGCACAGTGAGCCCAGCTGCCGGGAAGGTGGGGGTGGGAGGAGGGGGGAGCCCCTGGGCTAGACCCCCAGCACATGAATTAAAATAAACAGATTGTTGTTTAGAGTTTCTTTGTCCAGGAAGGTTCACTGTGATTGTTGACAGATCATAGCCATCATAAATTCTCATGCTCAACTAATTTCAAAATCAAGATGGGGAAAGCCGTAAAGGACGGCTTTCAGGTGGGATGGATGTGGGGAGAAACTTCTGGAAAGAAGCATGCTTCAGGCCTGCAGAGGTCCCAGGTGGCCTGAGCCAGGGGTGCAGCCAGGGATGGGGGCACTTTGGGATCAGAGCCCCTAGGAGGTTGGAGAAGGGTGGATTCTAGGATGGCCCTGGGAAGAGGGGACCCAGGGACAGGCTCTAGGCCCAGCCAGCAGCACCTTCTGTCCCACCCACAGCCCTCATCTTTGATGGCAGCACCAACCCTGCCCACCCCAAACACATCGGCAGCATCGACCCCAACTGCAAGGTGTCTGACGTGGTGAAAGGTGAGCCTCCCTGGGCGTGGCCTTCAGGAGACTCGGGGACCCCTCTAAGTCCACCTGCCAGGGTTGACCCATTCCTGGTGGGTAGGGGCACATCCCCATGAAGGTAATGTTGGTGATGCCCTGTCCACGCCAGGGAGACTGCCTGCTATGTGAGCCACCCATACCCCGAATGGCCCCTTCTTCTTGCAGATGCCTACGACATGGCCAAGCTCCTCTGTGACAAGTATTACATGGCCTCACCTGACCTGGAGATCCAGGAGGTCAACGGTGAGCAAGTGAGGCTGTGCGTGTGTCTCCAGGAGGGCCGGGCAAGGGAGAGCCGGGTGAGGGGGGAAGCCGGAAGGGGGTGCTGCTTTCCAGGCAGGGGAGAAGCAGGGCTGCTTTTAGGATTTTTTATTTGATGGCGACTATTTCAATATTTGATAAATATTTATTGCAAGCAAGACAGACAAGGTCCCTGTTCTCATTGGGGAGCTTATATTCTGGGTGCTGGGGAGGTTGGGGGATGGGGCCAACAAACACATAAACAAGATGATTTCAAATGGACAGGAAGGAAATAAGGCGGACTAGCAGGAGGGCGATGGGGGAGCCAAGTTGGAGGTGGGCCGTCAGTCTGGCTGCCTTTCCAGAATCCAAATCCCAGTGGCTAAATTAAGAGAAAGGTTTCCCTCTGGCCCGCCTCTGGGTGGCAGGGTATTTGGAGCTGGCTCCCCACCCCCAGCTCTCAGGAGGACAGGGAAGGCTGGGCTTCTGTGAGTCACTGGCTCCCCCCATCTCAATGGAGGCTGGGGATGTCTCTAGCTGGGCAGCCATTGCCCAGTTACAGCTTGGGAGGGGTGGCTGTTACCCAAAGAAGAGGGGGCCAGGAGGGCTGCAGGGCCTGTCTGGAGGAGGGTGGGAAGTTACTCCAGGCTGTGTCCTGACCTTGCTCTCTGACTCCCTGCAGCTGCCAACTCCACCCAGCCCATTCACATGGTCTACGTCCCCTCCCACCTCTACCACATGCTCTTTGAACTCTTCAAGGTGAGGAGGCTGGGGACCCCCATTCACAGGGCTCCTATTAGATCTGGCTTCTCTCACTCAGCTCAGCCCTCGTCCCCCCCCCTCCCCAGAATGCCATGCGAGCCACAGTGGAGAGCCACGAATCCAGCCTCGTTCTCCCCCCTATCAAGGTCATGGTGGCCTTGGGTGAGGAAGATCTGTCCATCAAAGTAGGTGGCCCTTGTGGGTGGGGAAGACCATGGAAAGGGCAGGGTGGTGGTGGGTGGAAAACTAAGCTTTGGAGGGCTCCTGACATGTCCCCTTGGCCCCAGATGAGTGACCGGGGTGGAGGTGTCCCCTTGAGGAAGATTGAGCGACTCTTCAGCTACATGTATTCCACAGCACCCACCCCCCAGCCCGGCACTGGGGGCACCCCGCTGGTAAGATGGCTTCATCCAGGCCCCTCGCGCTCCTGGGGGATGCCCGCCTCTTCCACCTCTCTCCCTCTTGCTTCCCTATCTCCCAGTGATGCTGTACCCTCCGGGGCGGTGTGTAGTGACAGTTCCCTCTCCTGAGCCTGGGCCTCCTGGTCCCCTCATCTCTCCCTTTCCTGCACAGGTCCACCTCTGCTGAGGGTCGTCTGCCTGCCTGTCACCTTTCCTCGTTCCTCCCTCCCTCTCCCCACAGTTACTACCTTTCTTGTGACATTGTTGTGTTGTCCGGTGCCTCCCTGCCCCCTCCCAGGGGGATCCCTGTGACCTGCACAGGCCTCCTGGCTACCTGAGCAGACCTCCTGCCTGCCTGGCCTCCTCCATCCCACACCCCCATCTGGCTTCAGAGGCTTCTCTTTTCCAGGCCCCTCCCCCTCCCAGTTCTGGAGGCCCCTGCATAGCCCCAGCCCAGCAGCCCACTCACCTGTCACTCCCTGTGGCCCCAGGACCAGCCCCAGCCCCCTCACTGCTGCCTTCTTGCTCCCTGCAGGCTGGCTTTGGCTATGGGCTCCCCATTTCCCGCCTCTATGCCAAGTACTTCCAGGGGGACTTGCAGCTCTTCTCCATGGAAGGCTTTGGGACTGATGCTGTCGTCTATCTCAAGGTGAGGCCCTGCCCACTGAGTCCCCTGGAGAGGGATTTTCTGGGCAGGCAGGGCCGCTGTGAGGTTTCCCATCCACCCCTCCCTCCTTTCCTGGTTCTAGACTCAGAATCAGCAGAGGTACAGTTCCTCAACCCATAAGCCCCCAGCTTGGGAGGGAATTTCAATGTGTGGCTCATGATTAAGACCCCTCTTTCAGGAACCTTTGACCTTTTAGACCTGGAAAGAAAGGGGACTGTGGAGGTCTTGTTATCCAGCTCAGAGGGTGAGTCTGAGGACCCAACCTGGTGACCTTAATCAGGGTCACAGCCCACCCTCCTCCCTCTTTCTCCCTGACCTTTGAGGGAGCAGCTTTCTTGAATGGGCAGGAGCAGGACACAGGAGGGAACAGACCCTTCCATTGCCCTTCTCAGCAGGGTCGTGTCTCAACCAGTGGCTGGTGGCTGGGCTGACTTGCGGTGGGACATGCGGATCAGGGACCAGCACAGCCACCTGGGGAAGGGTGGTTTATTGAGGAGTGGGCAAGTCTCAGGGAGGTGCGAGGCTCACCTTGTGCTCCGCAGGCCCTGTCCACAGACTCAGTGGAGCGCCTGCCCGTCTACAACAAGTCAGCCTGGCGCCACTACCAGACCATCCAGGAGGCCGGCGACTGGTGTGTGCCCAGCACAGAGCCCAAGAACACGTCCACCTACCGGGTCAGCTAGGGGCCGCCCTCCCCTGTAGTCGAGAGGACAGACTGCTGCCTTGGGGTCTGGCCACCAAGGCGACCCTCTCCGTCACCCAGGAAGTGGGGTGGGGGTGGTTCTCCCTGATGACCAGTTTCTATCTCTGTGGAAGTCACTGCAGTGACTGGTATGTGGTGGTCCTTAAGTGCCAATCTGTCTCCGTGGAGACACCTGGGTGGTCTCCCTGGGTCCCAGTCTCCATGGGTGATGCCTGAGGATGGGGGATGATCCACCCCGATGGGTTGCCCTAGAGACACTTTCCCACGGTGGTCCTGAGACCAGGACTATCACTCTTCTGCCAGGGGTCCTGCGTCCCCCTCATGCCCACCATAGCCCTGGACTTCTTCCTGCCTTACTCCCCACCACTTACAGGCATACTGCCCTGGTCCATCGTCAGTGTTAGGAAGGGGCCAGGTGCCCCCAGGCCTGGTGGGGGGAGTGGAAGGGAGAGGATGCACCTCTGACCCTTGTGGGGGTCTTGCTCTGGCACCTCTCCCTCCACTCTGGGCATCAAGGTAGAAGTCGGCAGGTGAGGAGTAGGGAATGGTTCTCAGCCCAGGTCTATCCCAAAAGTAGAGGAACCTGGGGAAACCTCGAGGTTGCTTGCCCTGCCAGGGAGCCTCAGGTGACCTTGGCAAGGTTGTGCCACCCTCCCCAGCATGTCCTCACGTGCACACCGTCTGCCCACCCCACCCCCACTCAGTCCTGCCTGACCTCAGCCCTGCTGTGCCCAGCGTGTACTCGAGTGGCTTTCTCCCTGGATGCTCTGTACATAGCTAGTTTTATAGCCCTGAGTGCCCCCACCCTTCCCCTTAGCACACAGGGGGTTAAAGCTGTGTGTTCCTCCCAGTGGCTGTGACGGTGACAATGTCATTCACAGTAAAGAGGAGATTGAATAAGACTGTGGCCTGGCTGCATTGCTGGGGGCGGGGAGCCACACACACCCACATTTACATAGACTGCCATACCCTGTGTCACACATGATGTCACCAGGACATTGGCATCACCCGTATGTACCAGGAGTAAAATACCAGGCAGCTCCTCCAGAGCTCTTGACAGCCCAGCAACAGTGACACAGCTTCGTCCCTGTGTCCCCACCCACCCCCACAACTGGGACAGACAGAGAGGTCACTGGCACATTGTAAATGTTTATTGAAAGAAATTGAGAACCGCCTCCCCCCTTCACATGCAGGTGGACACCCACTATAGCTCCTGATGGCTTCAAGGACACGCATGCCTTCCCACCTCCCCACCAGCCCCTCTGCCAGGCCCAGGGGTGCCCGTGCCCCCGCTGCCCCCTTTCTCTCTGGAGCCCCACTCCCAGCCCATATGGCAGAGGGGAGGAAAGTGCTGGTCCCAGGGAGGGGGCCCTGGCCTTGAGCCACAGACCCCGGGCAGGAGTGAGGGGTCAGCATGCACTGGTCCTGTCTACCTCTCCAGGCAGACAGTTGGGGGAGGGGTTTCTAATCCGAAGCCCCTGGCTCCATTGGTAGCTCTAACCAGGGCCCCAGAAGCTGGGCTGGCTGCTGGCCAGCATGGTACCTGGACAACCTGTCTCTGGACATTTTCCAAAAATGACAGACACCACTCCCACCCGGGGGTCGTTCCTGGCCCTCCCGGCAGCCTGTGAGCTGCAGCCTGCGCTCCCTGCCCGGTCTAGAGCCCTGAGCTCCTCACAGTGGCCGGGGCTGATGGAGAGAGCCAGTGGGCCCTTCCCATCCAGCAGCTTCCAGGTAAACCCCAGATTTTGCCTCTGCCGGCTGGGGTGAAGTGCCATGGGTTCAGCAGCACCAAGGCACCGGGAGGGCTCTGTCCCCGATGCTTCCAAGTGTGTTCTGCCCCCCAAAAGAGCTCAGGTGCTCTCTGAGGGAGCAGGAGGAGGAGGAGTCCTGGCTGGAGAGCAGGTGAGAGACCTGCTCTTGAATAGGCCCTGAAGGGACAGGCTGCCTGGATGCCGTCCTTGCCTTGGGACTCAGGACAGGGCAGGAGAAAGAAGGGGTTTTTGTCCTGTCTGTCTTCTCCTATCCTTGCAGAGGCCACACGTATCTCTTCCTGCTCTCTCTGCTCTCCTGTTGAGGAGTTGGCTGGGAGTCTACCCTGAGTGCGACTTGCTGTAATGCTCACTGATCTACCTGGGGAGCAGAACAGCTCTCCCCCAACACAGCCACCTTGAAGAGCTGGAGAGGCACAGCTCTGTCCCCTGCTGAGATGCCCAGACTACCCTCTGAGCCTGAAGACCCTGCCAGGTGCAGGGCCTCTGGGAGGCAGGCAGGCACCTTCATGCCCAGCACCACCCTGGCCTGAGGACATAGGGCCAGCCTGATCCTGGCTCCTCTGGGCTTCTGGACTTAACTTCAGCCCTGGCCTCTCTGTCCCTCTTCCCTTCAGCTGCTACCTGCCTCTCCCAGGAACTCTGTGCCAAACAAGTCCTCAGAATCGGATTTATTACTGGGCCCTCTCCCTGGGGTCTCCCTTCCCGGGGACTCTGGGTCCAGACAGAGTGAGAGAGGGCACGTGCCCCCAAGAGTGTGGGGCTAGGCCAGCCCAAGCCTGGCACCCAGGCCCACCCCCCTGGTGAGGCCTGTGCCCGCTGAGCCTGGTGGCTGCCCGCACCCAGGTGCCAGTGCCACCCTGCCCGCCCCTAGCTCTTCTTGGCCTCCTGCTCCCGGCGCCGCAGCTTCTCCCGCTGCCTTGCAGCCTTCTCCTGGGCCTTGCGCTCCTTCTCCGCAGCTGCTGCCAGTTCCTTCAATTTCCGCTTCACTAGTGCCCGGTCATGCGAGTTGCTGAGCCCCAGGCTCTGGGGGGAAAATCCCAGGGTGGAGGAGAGCATCCCAGAACCTTCCAGGTTCAGCTCCAGCCAACACAAGCCCGGGGCTTCCTTCCGTCCCAGCCATACACCCTGAAGGGCAGCCTCTGCCTCCTACTGTGACTTGCCCAGGGATCAGAAGCCTCAGTGAGAGTGTGGAATTGGAGTGGTTGGGAGAGATGAGGCTTGAGGTGGGCCTCCCCATCCGTGTCTTCCCTCCTTCCACTTGGGGTTTCAGCCTCCACACAACCCTGCCCAACCTGCTGAGGCCCAAAGATGGGGAGTGACTTGCTCAAGGTCACAGAGCTAGTTGGTGGCCAAGGCCCCTCCCCACTACCCCCAAGCAACTCAGATGACAGCTGGAGACAGGCTGGGAACCTTCCAGCAGAGTTCAGAGGCCACCCTGCAAACTGTCCCCATGACACATCACTACCGCTAGCCTCTGAGACTGAGAATGGGGCGGAGCTGACCAGGGAGAGGCTTGTCTTCCCATGATACTGGAAAACTCAAGTTCCAGAGGTCAGATGACCGTCCCAAAGGGAAAGGTCAGCTTGGAGGCTTGGGCTGGAGCTAGATGATCAAGTTCAAGTGGTGGGCTTGGATTTCCAGCTGGACTGGGGTCCCTTACCAGACCCCTGTAGGACCATCCTAGAGGTCAGAGGTCTCAGCAGTGGCTGGAGAGCGGAAAGGCAGCTCAGGAAGCTGGGCCGAGGGTCAAAGTAGCATGAGGAGTTCCCCAACCTTGAAGTTGCCTCAAGCTCTGTCTGGGTCATGACCTTTGCACTCTGACCTACCTTCAGTTTGCTTCCGTCCAGCTGCAGGAGTTGTGGCCCGTCCACTTGCCGGGCTGCAAACTCAGCGGCGTACTGCTCCAGATTGAGGCTATGCAGCCACTGGCCCACCTGCTGGCTGGTCCAGTGCTGGACAGTAGGGAGGGGCTCATCCAGGAACTGGGACAGAGACGAGGAGAATGTGGGGAGAGGCTCGGCCGCAGCCTGCACACTCAGCAGGACTCCAGCCGGCATGGCGGCCAGCCTCACTCACCTCATCTGAAGACTGGGACAGCGTGTGGTAGGGGTAGGAACACTTGGCCTCCTGCCGGGGACCACTCGGGATCTTGGGGCTGCTGCTGGGGGGCGTGGAGTCGTCACTCAGGGTGGATTCCTATATGGGAAGGGGTGTGTGCTGATGAGGAAGGGAGCCCCCTTGGGCCCACCACCCTGTCTACATGGAGCTGAAGTCCTGGACTAGGCACCCAAAGTTGCTCAGTGCCCTCTGAGCACAAGCTGGGAGCTGGGCAAACACAGGACATGGTAACTTGTGTGACATGTCATGACCTGGGGCCTTTGAGAGGCAGGCAGCCATCTAGGGGGCACAGGGCTAGAACTAAGCCAGACAGAAGAACTGGCAGGAACAGAGGTGTTAGGTTCGGTGCTGCTTCCTACAAGAAGCCCACCAGGACTCCCTCAGGTTGGGTCAGTTGTCCTTGGGACCTGACTCCTGTGTCACCTCGCTGGTAGATGCCCTCACTGGATTATCAGTTCTATAAGGGCCTATGCTGGATCTTGTCTACCACAGTGTCCCCAGGGCTGGGGGTTATGGAGCTTTGCAATGAAATCTGTGCAAGTCAGTGAGCAGGTCCCCTCTGTGGGACCCTTCATTTGTCATCTGTACAATAGAGGAGTGAGCCTGCCTCCCCCACCTCACTGTTAAAGCAAAAAGGTGTGCTTGGGGCGTGGTGACCCTGGAGAGTGCCGATGAACATGAGCACACACTCAGTGTGGCTTCTGTCCCTGGGCTTGCTCCTCCTGCAGGGCTGTGAGCTCTCAGAGCACCAGGCTGGGTCCTGTTCACCTCTATATCTCTGAAGCTTCACCCCACAAGCAGGTGGCCCAACTCCTAACAGGGTGTCACATCAGACCTGAGCCAGGCAGAGGGGTTAGCAGGCAGGGAGACCCCAGGCTGGGTGAACAGCAGGGCCCCAGTGTCAGAGACGCGGGAGGCCATGAATGAGTGAGGCAATGAACTACTGAGATGAGTGAATGAACTCAGGTGACGATGGAGTCATGGAACACACAGTGGCTCTGAGGTGGACAAATGGATTCTAGGAGGGCCTGGATTCCCGTCTGATTATGGTGTAGTATGTCACCTGAATCCAGGGGCCAGTTTGGGGGCAAGAAAGTCCTGGGATTACCTGTGACGCTGACTTCTTGGGACTGAACCCCTCATGTTTAGGGGAGCAGGCAGGAGAAGTGACGTTGCCTGAGGACGCTGAACCCTTGCCGCTGTCTGTGAACCAGGAAAAGGGCAGGAACGGGGAGGCCCCTGACCGGCCAGACCCTTCCACCGACTCCCTGTGAAGAGAGCACCCAGCATGGGTGTGGGCACCAAGGGGAGGCTGGGAGCTGACGGTGGGCACTGTGGGCACCTCTTACCTGCTGCCCATGGACAGGCGGTTGCTGCCCTTCTCCTTCCGGCTCTTGCCAGTGGATGCTCGGCGGAGGGTGACCCTGTGGGGAGGGCAGGGGAGTGGCAGAGCTGCTCTTACCCCAGCAGCTTCAGCTCTGGACCGTGGCCCCTCCTTCACTCACCCCAGGTCCAGAAACTTCCGGCGCGTCTTCTTATCCAGACCGATGGTGGGGCTGGCAGGCTCAGGAGGGCTGGCATCCCGGCTGTCATCTTTCGGGGACAGGGGGAGCAAAGAGCCAGTACAGTGGCTTGCCTATCTTCTCTGGCGGGTTGGCATATTCTTGACTTAGAATCAGCCACCCTGGCTCTGGTGTCCTTCACTAGCTGTGTGACCTAGGATAAGTCACTTTTTCCTCTGAGATTCTGTCATTTCAAATGTGGGGGTAATAATCTCTGACCATGTCATGGTACCTTTGAGATGCATAGGAAAGGCTCTGACAAACCTTAAAGCACTTTACAAATTGACAAGGTAGGGACCACTACTATTTTTTGGGGGAGTGTAAGTTCTGGGGATAGAATTCAGGAGCACTCAACCACTGAGCCACATCCCCAGCCCTATTTTGTATTTTATTTAGAGACAGGGTCTCACTGAGTTGCTTAGTGCCTTGTTTTTTGCCGAGGCTGGCTTTGAACTCGCTATCCTCCTGCCTCAACCTCCCAAGCCTCTGGACTACAGGCGTGTGACATGGCAGCCGGTGGATCACTACTATTTACTGTTAACTTTATCCTGGCCTTCCAATCTTGGCTCAAATGTCATTTCCTCAGAGGAGTCTTTGATGATGCTCTCAAATAGGTCAGATACCCTGATAACAGGCACTTCCACCGCCATGCACATTTCCTGCGTAGCAATCATTACACTTTGTAACTGCACATTTATTAAGGGATGGTTCTATTGTTGCTCCTCTAAACTATACACCCCAGGAGGACAAGGACTGCCTCTATTTGCCCTATTTGTGCCCCAGGATCCAGCAGTGTCTGGCACATAGTAATTTCTCTGTAAAGGAATGAATGAACCTTGGTGTTCATTCTCCCCAGCTCCCCATGGCCACCCAGTTCCACTGGGCGCAGCCACTGCCTCGGTGTCGCGGGGCGCGGCTGGGGAAGCTGTGGTGGCTGTGCGCACCGGCAGGGGGCGCCGTCCGCGCTCACCTTCGCTGTGCGGCTCCGCGCGCGGGTGGCGGCGTACGAAGCTGGGCGAGCTGTCCGAGGAGGGTGCGGAACGCGGCGGCGAGCTGGAGGCGGCAGCCAGGCCCTCGTGGGAGGCCGCGTTGTGCAGGGGCCGATAGCGTGTGAGCGGCGACGGAGGCGGCTCGTCCTCGTCCAGACTGCGCCGCAAACCAGGAGGCTCCAGGCAGAAAGATCCCCCGCCCGGGGAGCCAGGGCCCGAGTGCAAAGGCGAGCGCAGCCGGTGCAGGGGACTCCCGCAGCCATCGGTCACCTGGGGGAGGGGACAGCCGTTCATCCTCCCCATTGTGCTGGAGCCCTGGCTCCTGAGTCCTTCTGGGGCCTGGAGGGAAGGTCTCCCCGTGAGCTGCATAGGGAAGGGTTGAGGTCCCCGGCCTTGCTAGCTATTATTGTGACCAATACTGAACCTGTGCTGGCCTCAGCTTCCTGATCTGCAAGCTGGGTCTTGGGGCACAACCAAGGCAAGTGGAGCTTCTACTTTAATAGGAGGAGCCGGCCAGACGTGAAGTGCGCTAACATTTGGTAGCATTATTATTACATCAGCGCTCTGGGAATGAGGCTTCCCCCAAGGGCAGGGAAAGCCCAGGGGAATGAGAGGTGTGTGGGTGTGGGGGTGGGTGGGTGTTGCCCCAACCTTGCCTCCAGGCCCATCGGAACCTTCACCATCCTCAGCAGAGCTGGCACTGTCCCGAAGCCTGGAGCGGGATGGCCGATGTCTTCGGCCCTTGGCCAGCAGCTGGGCCCGGGCCTTGTGTAAACTGCTGTCCAGTCTGGCGGTCTCTGGCACAGCCAAGTCCAGATCTGCAAACCAGGTGAATGGGCAGAGACCAGTCACCTGAAGGTGGAGAGCCCAGAGGCCCACCTTGTTCACACCCCAGGCATTAAGCCAGTACTTCTGAGTGCTATGCACTGCAAGGCCAGGGAGATGGAAATCAGGACCCCCCTCCGCAGACTGGGGGAGACCTAATCATGTCAGCACGTAAGTACAGCCTGCATAGAGGCACAGAGCAGCCGTATTTGGAGGGGTCAGAGGGGGAAACGCCAACCCAGCTCCTAAGGTCTGGAGGGGAGTTTCCAAATGACTAGGTGGCATACGGAAGCGGGGATGGCACCTCTAGGGGTGGTGGGAGGGAAGCTCTGTAGGGAGAGGAACTGGACAAGGCTGCAGACATCATGGTGATCCTGGCTACCACTCAAGAAGCAACTACAATGCACCAGACACTACAAACATCATCTCTCATTCAAAACAACTCTGAGAGCCAGGTGTGGTGGCACATGCCTAGAATCCCAGCAATTGGGGAGGCTGAGGCAGGAGGATCACAAGTTCAAGGCCAGCTTCACAATTTATCAGGGTCCTAAGCAACTCCGTGAGATCCTGTCTCAAAATTTAAAAAATTTAAAGGAAAAAAAGAAAGGGCTGGGGATGTGGCTCCGTGGTTAAGTGCCCCTGGGGTTCAAACAAAAAAAATTTGATACAAAAAAAGAAAGAAAAGAAAAGAAAAACAACAACCCTGGGAGGGGAGGCCCCCACAGCTACTACACACACTGTACAAACTAAGGCTCAAAAAGGTCGAGTCACTTGACTGAGCCATCAGCTAGCAGTCCTCTGGGATTTGAGCCTGACTAGACTGGCTCCAGAAACTGGCCCTGTGGGGACACTTGCTGTGTCACTCTTAGGGTAGTATTCAGAGAGAACACTGGTGAGTATTTGGGGGCCTGCATTTGAAGTGAGGCAGAGGGACTCCCACAAGCCAGTGGCAGTGGCAGGAAGAAAGTCCCCACAGGCCTCTGAAGCCTGTCCTTGCCATCCGGGGGTCTGTGGCCCAGTGCTAGGTCCTGCATGATGACCCCAAGGAGGAGCAGGCAAACGCAGTGGGTCACACACAAAAGCACTTATGGATGAGTTTCTCTTTTTGTGTACCTGCCTGAGAATGGTGCCCTCACGCTGGACTGGACTTGACCTTGGCATTAAGACTCTTCCTGCGCCTCAGCATGGTTCAACCCTTTCCTCTCCACACCTCCCTTGGGACCTCTGGGACCCCATTCCATCCCTCACACACCCTTGTCCTCCTTGTTCTGCCCTCTTTTCTGTAAACACCCCAAACACACCTGGCTTAATGGCCACTTATGCCTATTTCTAGCTGACTGCTCCCCTGAATTCCAAGCCCAGGCACTTGGGCCATGTCCAGGGAACTTGCTGTGACAAAGGACCCCAGACACCTCCAACTCAATACATCAACACAAACCCTCTGCCTTGCCTCAGACTGCTCACCTCTCTGGCTCCCTGAAAGGTCCCACTGCCCACCCAAGCCACCCAGGTTAGGCAGCTCTGGGCTACCGTCCTCCCTCAGCCCCACGCCCAGCTGGAAATTCATATGTCCAACTGTCCACTCAGCACTTCCGCTGACATGTCCGATGGGCTCCTTCTTCTTCCACACCAAAACCCAACCTGTGGCTCTGCCTCCCCATAAGCTGCCCCCCCAGGCTCCCCAGTTTGATAGCTCCACCGGTTCCGTTGCTCAAGTCAACCCCCCAGAGTCATCCTTGACTTCTTTCTCTCCCATCCTACAAACTGATCCAGCCAGAATTCCTGTTGGCTCTACTTTCAAAATATATCTAGACATACTGAAATATTTATGGTGAAGTGATATGATGTTTTGGATTCCGTTCAAAATAATCCAGAGCAATGAGGGCAGAGTGTGGGAGGGACAGAGGCAAAACAAGACTGGCTGTGAGTCGGCGCTTGTTGAAGTGGGGTGACCTGGACATGAGCACATGGCAGAGTACACTGCACTCTTCTTTACTTCCCCTCCCTTTTTTGTTTTTTTTTTGGTACAGGGACTGAACAAAGGGGTACTTAACTAATGAGCCACATGCTCAGCCACTTTTTTACATTTTATTTTGAGACACGGTCTCGCTGAGTAGCTTAGGGCCTCACTAAATTGCTGAGGCTGACTTTGAACTTGTGATCCTCCTGCCTCAGCCTCCTAAGCCTCTGGGATTACAGGTGTGCGCCCGGCACTCTTCTCCACTTCTGGACATGGTTGGGAGCTGGGGATATAACTCAGCAGTAGAGTGCTTGCCTATCATTTGCAAGGCCCCCGTACCACCAAGGAAAACATTATGGTTGAGACTTTTCAAAATATACTGTTTATGATTGAGTCTACACACACTCATCCATGCACACAAGGACAGGAAAGAGAAGAGGAGGGCGGGGAGCAAGCAGGTACCTACTCACAGCGAGGTACCATCATCTCTTGCCTTGTTTATTATAAAAAACAAAACAAAACAAAAAACCTTCCCCCTTCTTTTGCCACATACAGTCCTTCTGCAGCACACAGCCTGTGTGATCCTAATGAAACCCGATGTTCTGTCACTCCTCTGCTCAGAGCTCTTCTCCCTCCCTCCAGTAACCCTTCCTCAGGGAAATCCAGCCTGCACCTCAGGGCCTTTGCATGTCTCTCTTCCTACAGAGACCTTGGCTAGATTTCTACTTGCTTCTCTCCCTCACCTCCTTCAGGTCCTTGCTCAATTTCACACCAAGGCCCTTCAGACTACTCAGTTGATATCACTTTCCCACATACACTCCAAAAGCCCACTCCATTTTTCTTTCCACATCATCTATCACTTTCTGGCATATTGTGTGATTTTATTGTCTCTCTTCATTCATTAGAATGGCAGCTCCACAAGGACAGATTTTTCTCTATTTTGTTCACTACCCCAGATGCAGAACAATGCCTGGTACATAGTACACATAGTAGGTGCTTAGTAAATACTTATTTTTCATTTTGTTTGTTTTTGCAGTAACCAGGTCCTCACACATGCTAGGCAAGTATCTATCATGAGCTACACTCCTGCCCCTTTTTATTTTGAGGTAGGTTCCCACTGAATTGCTGAGACTGGCCTCAAACTTGTCATCTTCTTGCCCCAGACTTGTAATTTTTTTATTATTATTTAATTTTAGTCCTGGACATTAGACCCAAGGGTGCTTTGCCACCAAACTACATCCCCTGCCTATTTTACTTTTTAATTTGAGACACAATCTCGCTAAGTTACCAATGGTCTTGCTAAATTGCTGAGGCTGGCATCGAACTTGCAATCTTCTTGCTTCAGCCTCCAGAGTGGCTGGGTTACAGGAGTGCACCATCACGCCAACATTTTTGTAAGCACTCTTTTAATAAAACAAGGAAGTTCTGTTGACTGGCCTTTCTTGCACACGTCAGGCAGCCTGACCTCCCCATCTAGACTGTACTACCTCAGCTCAGGCCTTCGCCAGTGCCCCCACCTCTGCCAGCGGCTGCCATCCCAGAGCGTGGCTTCTGCATCTGGGTACACTTCCCTTCCCGCACCTTCCACAGGTTAGAAGACCTTTCCAAAGCACATTTCTTGCCATGTCCCCTACTCTCCTGCTTTGAAACCCTCTGGGGTCTGTGGGGGGTGGGGGTGGGGTGGATCCCAAAGCCAATATAAAGCCTAGCTCCAGAGCCTCAGCCCTGCATCAAGACCTGGAGACCCAGCCCCCCTTTCCGAGTTTCCTGGACTCCTCCTGCGCTAGACTCTTCTATCACACCTCAGGTAAGAGCACAGGCTCTGGAGCTGCATGGCCCAGGCCAAGGGCACTTCTGTCACTTGTTGTCTGGGTGATCCTGGACAAGTTACTTACATTGGGTGCTGGCTCCCTCATCTGTAAAAAGGGGCCAAACTAGCAGTGTCTTACTGAGAGCCTTGTCGTGAACTTTAAGTAGAATCGTCCATATAAAGTGTTTCATCATAATGCCTCCAACTTGGCATTTGCTGCTGATGGCGTGAGCATGTCACTACCCGGTTTTGTTTTGTACCAGGCCTTGTCCTATGCCCGAGGTGGTGAACAATGCTCACACCATGATGATGTATTTCTGCCTGCCTTTGCCTCTGTCCCCACCTGCCCCAACCCTCCCTCAGTGCCACAACTCCACCCTTCTTTGTCTGGCTGACTAACACACCCCTCCTTTTCCCACCTCCTCTGGCCTCACAGGATGGTCATCTTTGTTTGCCTCTGGTGCTCTCAGGATAAGGGCCCCCACTTGCTCCCATCCGAGAAATCAGGCTCCCTAAGGAGAGTGACTTGGTCTGCCTTGTTCTTTGCTGACTCTCCCCAGAGCCTTGCATGGAACCTGGCACCTATTAGGAGCCTGTGGATCTTTCCAGAATGGCTGAAGAGACAAGGATGGCCTGAGGGCTGCTACTCATCTTAGACAGCCAGGCTGAGGCCTGGGTGACAATAAAGAGCTAAGGTAATAGAAAGACCCAGAGTTTTCTACGGAGAGAGAATGGTGCAGGCTTGGGCTTGGAGTGTCTGAGGAGCAGCCAGGGGACTGGTGCAGCCTGCAAAGAGGAGCCAGGAGTGGGCTGGCGAAAGGGGATGATGGAACAGAGAGGCTGCTGCAGCTACCAGGGGCAGTGAGCAGCTGAGGACTCCGAGGGGGCAGATGCTGGCTTAAGGACTGATTTTTAGACCCAGGCTTGGCTCAATTCTCTGGCCCCACAGCTGCACTTGCTTTGCTTCTGGTGTCCACAGCCCCTGGGCTGAAGTGGGGAGGGGTCCTCCTTTCCCAGCCCTCGGGCCCCCTCACCCAGACTTCCCAGGCTGGCCTGGTATCAGCAAGCCCTGAAGACCAAACCTCGGAAGAGGCAGAGCTACTCCCCACTGGGCTCCTCAGTGCCAGGCCCTCCTCTAAGTGCTTCACAATTACTCGCTCATTTTACCTCCCACGACCCAGGAGGAAGGGACACTACCAATCCCCAGGGCAGCCTTAATTTGCCTGAGGGCACAGAGCTGGTAAGATCCTGCCAGGGCTAAAGACAGGCAGTCTGGCATATCTGTAACCACCAAATACACTAGATCCTTTCTGAAGCACAAATGGGAGCGACTTTGAGTCAACTCCTGATTTTATGGGCTGGGAAGCTGAAGGTCAAGGAAGAAAGGTTTGGCCTGGGTAGGAGGGAGTTAAGGATGGTGTCCAGGTCTCCTGGCTCCCAGACCTGTACTCTTGCACCCTCTACCCTCCTGTCACTCAGCTGGTGCTCAGCCAACCTGTGCCAAGGAGAAGGGCCCTCTGCTCCTGACTCTGGGCACCACAGTCACCCTCCGTGGGACAGTTTAGAGGGCAAAGGGAATCCTGGTGGTTTCTAAGTTTTTGTTTTGTTTTGGGCACTGGGGATTGAACTCAGTCAGGGGCACTCCACCACTGAGCCACATCCCCAGGCCTATTTTGTATTTTATTTTAGAGACAGGGTCTCACTGAGTTGTTAGCACCTCGCTTTTTGCTGAGGCTGGCTTTGAACCTGGGATCCTCCTGTCTCAGCCTCCTGACCTGCTGGGATTACAGGCAGGTGCAACTCTACCCTGACAGTTTAGAAGTTTTGAGGTGAGGTTACCAGCCTCTCCTGGACCCCTTGGTCTGCCAGGCCCCTCAACCCCTTCTTCCACCTCTTGCCATTCCCTGCTCCCTCCTCTGTGCCCCCTCTTCTTCCCTCCTGCCCTGGGCAGTGGGAATAATGAATATTTAATTGCCTTTCCCATCAGGAAGCAAGGCCCAGCTATCTCAGTAGAAAAGGGAAACAGGAAAGGCCTGGGTGAGGAACAGAGGGTGGAGACTGGAGGGGGAGGGGAGGCAGGAAAGCCCAGGGGAGGGACAGCTCACCTGTTAAGCCAAGGGTTAGGCTGGGCCTGTGTGGGGACACAGGGACCCAGAGACTGAGGCCCAGGGGAGCCCCTGGGAGCCTGGTATGGGAAGCAGTGTTCCTCAGAAGCCAAGAGGCAGCAGCCCTGGTGTCACTGTGGCCAGGAGCAGTGACAGGGAAAAGAGAGGAGGAAGATGGATATAGGAAGGCAGGGGAAAGAAGCTGGGAGCCCCTTGGTGTTCCGGGTATAGGAGCCCCCCACGCCACACACCTTAATCCAGCTGGGAAACAGCTTCTCCACCCCAGGGCCTGCTAGGAATGCCGCCCCACTGGGGCAGTCAATTTCCAAATGCAGGTACAGGTGACCACGCAGGCACCCAAGTATGTGCTGAGGACAAGGCCATGCAGACCAGCATGTGGGGCTGATGTGGGGGTGTGAGGTTGTATGTGTGCTGCATTTGATTCCAGGGCAGAGCCCTGGAGTGAGGTCCCATGCACTATGCAGGTGACTAGGAAGTGATGCGTGTTGTCTGGGCTGGAATAGACAGGGATGGAGCACAGTGAGTCAGGCAGTCTGGGGTTCTAGCCCCAGGCCTCTCACCTAACTTATCATGTGATCTTTAGAGCAAGTCACTTTAACACTGCATTCTATGCTCCTTTTCTGTATAGAAATGACACAGTGCATGTGAGATGGAGTAAGATAAGTAGATGAGGACCCACTAAGATAGTAGTGACAGATTCAGGCCACAATACACACACACATACACACACACACTGAACACCCGAAGGTCCTCTCTCCCCCATTCCATGCCCAGTAGCCTTGGAAAGAAGTGCTCTTTGGCTGTGTCTATTGGTAGAGATGGAGTCAAATAGAACTTACCAAAAACCTCATCTGCGGGTTCTCGGAGCTTTGAAGAAGCCATGACTCAAGAGAGCTGTGGAGACAAATAGAGAGAAAGAAAAAGAGACCCTGGATAAGAGGTTCAGGTTGGTCAAGTCAGGGGACAGGTCCATGGCTACACCTGCTCCTGGTCTGCTGGCCCTCACTTTCCCTCAAAGCTTTTCTTACAGCCCTGGGAGAGAAGCCATCTGAGTCCTCCTCTACACTGGGGGTGTTAGGGCAGCAAGCACAAGCAGAAGGGGATGGCTGAGCCAACCCTGAGCACAGATGCAGCTGGCCCTGCAGTGGTCCAAGCCTGTTGCCTTCACTCAGGGCTCTTCACTGTCCTGGGCCCTTCCATCACTAGTATCCCCTAAAAAAGCTTTCAATCATCATAAACCGTCCAACATCAAGTGTAGAAGAAGTCATGGAGATTATTAAATCTGATCCTCTGATTTTACAAACACAGAAACAGAGGAGGGAGTGGCTAACCCACAATCACATAGCAAGTTAGTGGTAAATACAGAATCAGAGCCCAGGGTCTTCCATCCATCTACCTATCCATTTATCTACCCATCTGCTTGATCTGCTTGATTATCCACCATCCATCCAGTCATTCATCCATTCCTCCCCCCACTTGTCTAATATCCATCCCCCCATCCCATCCATCCAATATCAACCTCAATCCATCCATCCACCCATCTTTGCAACTATCAGTTCTGTGCCCATCTTCCATCCACCATCCAATCCTGCTTCCCCCCTCCCCACTGTACACTGGGGCCCTCACCACCTGCCTTTCTGAACATGACTGTTCAGGAAACTGGCACCATCAGCAGGGCCACTGTTCTAGGCAGACTCTCAGTTCTCCCTGTTCTTGACAGACGCACAGATGCAGGAGGGTATGAGGAGTACTCACAGCAGAACAGTGGACAGCCAATGCTCAGAGCATCAAGTATGTTCTGGGAATGAGTGTGGATGGACCACATTATTTTGTTCTTGTTTGCTTATTTGGTGGGAAGCAGGAAGGGATGGCAGGTAGGGAAGCCGGATATAGCAGGTGAAAGCATTTGGACAGGCTTTCCTAGCAGATGTAGGGGAATACTGATGAGAAGACAAGGAGGAAGCCTGGGAGTCACTGACGGTTTAAGGCAGGAACACTGCATAGCCAAGACATGATCTTCAGTTACTTCTAACACTCAGGTCCCTTAGAAAAGGGCATGGCACTGGACTACACCATGTCCTTGACAGATGTACAGAGAAGCTGGAGCACATACCTTCCGCCCCTCCTTCTCTGTTCCTAATGGTCTCACTGTGAGCCAGCCAGGCTTGAGATCTTAGTATCCCCACTTTTCAGATGTGAAAACTTGAGATGCAGAAGAAGCAGAACTCTGCCTTGACCCATGCCTGGTTCTCAGCGCTATCTTGAGGGATGGCCTGAAATTCCTGGGGTACTCCTGAGGAAAAATACCCCCTAGGGGAAGGGACAGGGGAGAGACAGGGGAGCTGGTATACACAGCCTGGGATTAGGGGAAGTATTAAACCCATATTAAAACCACCTCCACCCCAGACACCATGGATACCTAGGGTTGAGCAGGGTAGGGGAGGAGTTGGTGATGCAGGGCCTCCAAGAACCTTCCCAACATTCTTGAACTCTGGGGATTAATAGTAGCCAAGATCTAGAATGGTTCTTCCTGCCCTGAGGGGTCAGATGAGAAGGGAGGCTACCCCAAAGAATAAACCAAATTCTCACACTGGATCACAAAGCCTTATCTGACACCAGGGCCCAGCTGTCCCCTCTTCCAGAAAGCTGTCATAGTAGTTCTCCTGTCTATTTTTCTTCATAGTTTCTAAACTCACCCTTCTCCAATCAGTGGCAAATGAGGAATTTTTCAGACTTCACTGATTCCCTACATGGGTCTTCTCTCCCCATATCAGATGGGAGAGAGGCCATGTATTCCCCCATTAGAACAGGGGCTTTCAAGACAGGAGCTTCCCATCAGAATAGGGGTCCTCTGAGGGCAGCAGTGGTGTCTCCTCTTAGACACTGAGAAGGGAAAGCTCATGTGCTCTTTATTCAGGGACTCAGTCCAGGACTGAGACCCTCTTGTGTGTGGAAACCCCTTTCAGCACCCTCTGGGCTGAGCTAGGGCTTCCAGGTGGCACCCACTCTCAGTCCACCTGATTCAACACAAACTGCTTTTGCTTTTCCCTTCAACAGCCAGCTCCCTAGGGTGTATGAGGGACCCAACCCTCCCTACACCGCTCCATGGAGAATTCTAGGGAAGCTTGATATGTAGAAGGTCACTAGATCCTGCCACCTCTCCTTCCAAAATTGAGTCTTGGAAAATTAGATACTCAACCTCACCCTTTTCCCTGGGTGAGAAGTGTACATGAGCACGTACACACACACACACACACACACACACACACACACACACACACACACAAACATACTCCTAGACAGGTAACAAGGGTAGAAATGAGCCTGTTCCTCTGGACAGCCACATTACCAGACCATTCTCTTCCCCTATAACTTCCAGTTTCTGGAGGAGCATCAATGACCTCTGACTTTCTTCTGGGAGAAAGGGATGCAGGTGAGTTAAAAAAAATAAATCTGGTACCCAAGGGAAGGAGAAAGAGAAAGTAGAGGTGCACAATCTAGGGAGGAAGCAGGAGTAGGAATAAATAAGCATGCCAATAAGAGATTGGCGACATCAAAGGGGGCTGAGAAGAAAGAGCCAAAAGGAGCAGAGTGGGGCCAGAAAAGCAGTGGAGAAGGCAGAGGGCTGGGAGCCCAGAGTGGGGCCCAGGGTGGGGTGCCAGAGAGCCACTGCCTACAGGCTAGAGGAAAGAAAGGGGCCCAGGAAGAGGAGAGAGAGAGAGAGAGAGAGAGAGAGAGAGAGAGAGAGAGAGAGAGAGAGAGAGAGAGAGAGAGAGAGAGAGAGAGAGACACTGACAGACAGACAGACTCAGAGAAAGTGCAACTGGGAAGGCCAGGCAGGATGGACTGTGGATCTAGGGAGGCTGTGCCCCTCCCTATGTGGCCAGTCTTCCACAGGCCCCAGGCTGGGGACAGCCTGCAGGAGTCTGACACCCCTCTTAAGCTCCGCTGGACAGCGGGTGGAGGTGGGGACGGCTACCTATTTCACTCCCAAGGCCCCTCTCCCTAATCACAGCGGGTGGCCAGTTTCTCTCCAACCCACCAGTCCAACTTCTTGCTGGGCACGAAGGAGTTAAGTCCTCTACCCCTTCCCCCACACCAGTGGGTTTTTTTTTTTATTATTAATTTCTCTGGGAGAGAGGGAGGGGATTAGGGACACAAATCCTATCTCCGCCCCCTCCCCTGACAGCCCAGCTCCCCAGCCCCGCGGGTTCCCCTAGGGATAGGGGGAAAAGGTCCCTATCCCTTGGACCCATCCAACCCCACTCGGGCCAAGTGGCCGGCCCGGCTTCCCTGTCCACCCCGGGGGCCCGGCCTCTCACCTCTAGCATCGGTCATCTTCAGTGGCTGGCGCCTCGGGAACCCCTCAGGCCCATGGTGCTCAAGGCGGGGGCCGGTCAGGAGAGGGGCGAGGGACCGTCACCCCGGCCGCGGGGGGCTCCGGGCTGGCTCAAGACGCTCCATCCCGGGGTGGGGGGGAGGGTCGGCGGGGAGGGTCCCGCAGCCGGAGAGAAATGGAGAGCGGGGGCAGTTTGGGGGCAGAGGAAGGTTTGCAGGAAGCAGGAGCGCGGGCGGGGCTGGACCTGGAGACCTGACGGAAGGATGCTCCGTGTGTGCGTGCGTGTGCGTGTGTGTGTGAGTGTGTGTGAGTGTGTGAGTGTGAGAGAGCGCGAGGGAGCGAGCGCGCGCGCGAGCGGAGGAGCGCCCCCTCCCGCCCCGCCCCCGCCGGCCCGGCGGGTCGAGGCCTCGGCCTGGGAGGCGGATTCGCTCGGCGACGCGTCCGCGGGGTCGACGGGGGTTCCCGGGAAGGGGCGTGCGGGGGCGCGTGGCGGGGAGGCCGGGCGCCGGGAGACAAAGAGCGGGCGGCTGGGGGCGGAGGCGGCGGGATCCGAGCGGAAGGAGGCGGCGGGCGCCTCGGCCGGCCCAGCCCGGGGTATCCCACTTGCAGCTACTTCTCGGCCCGCGGGAGACGCCACGCACTGGAGCCGGCGCGGGGGCAGGGGAGCGGCCGAGAGGCGGCCCCACTGGGCTTCCGCCCAGTCTGCAGGGCCCGTGAGGACTCCTGATTGACTCACTCACACACTCATTCAAAACACCCGCCCAGCAGCCAGCCCCGCGCTGAAGCCGGAGGGGACCGCAGTGAACCCAACCGACCCAGTCCAGGCCGAGGGCGCTGGCCGTGCAGCCCCGAGGACTGACGAGTAGAGAGGCCCTCCCCAGCCCCGGGCTGTGGGCCGGGTCTCAAGAGGACACTTCGACCGGGAGGGAGAGAGGACGCGAGGGCGCCTGGTTGGTTTGGGGAGAGTGGACAGGGAGGATTCCTACAGGAGGAGGATTCCTACAGGCCGTTAGGGGAGAAATGCTCATCGCCATAGGGGTTGCGGGTGAAGGGGCCAGAGGGGAAGACCAGCTGATGCTGCAAAGGTGCACGGGGAGGTTTGGCGTTCCATTCTAGTAGCCATGGGGGAGGGAGGTGGAGAACGTTGACGCAGGAGAGAGGGGTGCAGTTCTGCGTTTTGGGAAGAACCCTTGGCTCCTCAGTGGAAAGCTGATTGCAGAGGACATCCTGAGGGCAAGAGCCCCTTCAAAAGAGGCTGTGAAGAAATGACAGTAGCGGACAAGAAGAGTAAAAATCAAGTTGAGAACTATCCAGGATATAGAAGGAAGTGAATCAAGTGGCAGGAATTGAAGGCTGGCTGGACAGAATTGAGGGAGAAGGAGGGATCTTGGATGGCTGTGGATATTGGCTAGAGGCAGGAAGCCCTAGAGCTGGGTGGGGTAAAGGAGGGATGAGCTCAGACTTGGACCTGGTGAGCCAGCGGGAGGTGGTGGTGGAGGAGAGGTACCCAGGGAGATCATGTAATCAACAACTAGCTGCCGTAGGCAGGGATTGAGGTGTGTCAGGCACTCTACTAAGTACTTATCAGATTATTAATGTCATCCTCACAATAAATCCATAAGGTAGGTGTTTGTTACCCCCTACCTTGGAGAAGCTAGAGACTTAGAAGGAATAGAGACGTAGAAGGAAAGTGGTTTAGGAGCAGGTGGTGAAGCTGGAGAAGGGTCTTGAATTCATGAGGCCAAAAGGTTAGAGAAGGAAAGCTCCCTCAGGGCCCATCCATATCTGCAGTCTGAGGCCTCCAAGGGTCTGTGGCATGGAACTGTAGGTGAGGGCAGATCCTAGGAGATCTGTGGAAGTCTGGGACTCTCTGGATATCTATAGGATCTGCTAGCAGCCATGGGTTGCTGAGGGGGTAGGGTCTCTGGTGACAGCCTGTTTGGGCTGTGTCTGGAGTGTTTTAAGAGAATGTGGTTTACAGGCTGAGATCTGGAGTAGGGGGATTGAATATATAACCCATATAGATCCCAAGAGTTGGGGGGTGGTGGTGATAGAATATAAGGACACTGAGGCATTCTGGGGGAGGATATGTTAGACCTGAGAGGACCCATGTTATTAATGAGGCCTAAGTTGCTGGGAACTGAGACAATTCTCAGCTAGGGTTGTGACAAAAGTGCTCAAGTTCTCAAGATCTGGGCAGGTGACCTGGGTATGGGATCAGAAGGGGGGTAGGGGAGCTAAGGTGGAAAACTTCACACAGGCCTGGCCATGGCCAACTGGCCCAGCCTCAAATGTGGAGATAATTCAGGGGCAAGTCATATCTCAGGTTGAGAAACTCACAGCAGAGCCACAATACACCCAGCCATACAAGGGCTTAAACATGAGGTGGCTACTAGGCCCACCTTCTGGAACATATGTATAAGGTCCCTCACATGACCCATGACAGATGGTGATAGCAGGACTCCACCGTGGATGATTAGCCCCAGATAGACCAGCAGAAACCCTCAGTAAACCCCCAGGTCTGCCTCCCCAGCCATGTCACTTCTTGGGACTTATTGGCTAGGTTTCTCCAGTGGCCCTGGGGTTTTGACTTTTAACTATGGAACCGTGACCTATGATCATGGGATGACCTATGATCATGGGATCATGCTGGATGGATCTGTCTTCAGTATCCCCAGGGCACTCAAGAGTGTTCCCAGGATGATCTACTTTGGAGGAGATGCTCTGAGAGAAATGGTCCTTAACCATCAGGTTTGGACTGGACTGGTCCTACATGGGCCATAATATAAACTAGAAATTTAGAGGGGTAGTTATGAGATGCCAGAATTTGCCTTGACATGAATGATATCTGGGTGACAGTCATCCACAGGGAGTAGCTGCCTCAGGAGCTGCCATCTGAGTTCAGGGCCCTTCAGGTTGGCACTTCTATTTCTTATGGTAAAGAGTGGGGAGAGTGAGAATCCCACTGGGGCCAAGTCAAAGAACACAAGCACCCAGCTTCGGTTCTCTCCCCATACTTGCACCACAGCATCAAGGAAGGGAAGTTTGCACTGGGAACTGCCGCAAGTTCCTGCCCCTCCCTTCTGCCTTCACCTCTGGGACTCAGCAAAGCTTGTTCCTGGAACTCCAGAATCGGACTCATGACCCTTTAGTATCAGATCTGGAGGCTGCAGCCAGATCTGCTGGAAAAGAGCAGGAGACTCAGGCTGTTTAAGACCTCTCAGGCTCACCTCTAGGAGAGAAAACTGGACATTTCTAGGATCAAGACTGCCCTGACATGTCACTTCCCACTCCAATAAATATTTGATCCTTCTAGGACCTAAAACGGGGCACCTCTGAAGAGTATCCCTTCATTCAGTACTCAGGGGAAGGGCTTGGGGTTCACCTTATCATATCTAGCCCATCCTCTGGATTTTTTAAGAGACCTTGCAAAAGGGATGCGACAGACTGTCTAGAAACGCCAGGAGGACTGGACAAAAAGCATATATGCTGATAGGGTAATGATGGCAGAAAGGCAGTTTGCAGGGGCTGGGAACTCTGCAGAAAGAGCATCAGGATCCGGGACAACTCTGGTGGTCTTGACCCCTCCACCCCCAGTGAATCAAGAAACCAGGCAGCGAGGGTCTGGGGGCTGCTTTTATGGGGACGACCTGACAGAGGGCATGGTCCGTACAAAACCGGGAACAATACATACATATATATATTATATACAGAGACGGGGTCCTCCAAGGACGGGGCAGGGGCGGCCGCTAGCCCGAGAAGCCGGAAGCGCCCCGCGGCCCCGCCCACCGGCTCCGCCCCCTCCATCTGCCGGGTGAAGCACAGGGGCCCGGCACTGAGACAGCCAGCTCTTCCGGGGGTGGGGGCACGTCTGAGGGAAAGAGAGGGGCAAGAAATACTGATAGATGTTAATGGTCTATTTACAGGGAACAAGGAGAGGCCGAAACGGATGGAAAGGGGTTGTTTTTAAAAAATGAACAAAAACCCAGGCTTGGGGCAGGGGCATGAGCAAGTGGCAAAACGAGATGGATTTTGAAAGGGGAGGGGTTTGGGGGGGGTCTCACCTCCTTGGTCAAAGCCCCAATTTGGGGTTGAAGTGGGGGAAACGGAGTCGATTTCACTTAGAAAGCAGGCTGCCGGCGGGGCAGCCCTGGTCTCCAAAAAGAAGAGTAGTAAAATTTCGCCCTCCAGTCAAAACATTGGAAAACAGCGGGGGCGGGATGGTGGGAGGCTGAATCTCTTGGATGTTAGTACAAGGCTTCCAAGTGTGGCCCTGGGCAGGGCTGCGAAGGGCAGGGCCTGGCTTTTCAGTGAGAAGTGTTGCCCTTGCCTGAGACTGGCGTCTCTGCAACCAGGCCCCCTAAGCTGACCTCCCCTCCTCCCTGACATTCCCAGGCTTGGCCAGGAAACCTGGACCCCAGAGAGGCCACAAAACAGTTCAGGAGGAGGTTATGGCTATTTGGCACCTGGGAGAGGGGAGGCACAAGGAGAAATTGAGGGCTGCTGCTCTTTCCAGGAAAAGGGGAGCTGGGGACCAGGTGTCCTGGACTCTACTTTCCTCTACTCTCACTCCCCTTTCCCTGAAGGATATATGAGAAATCAGTGCAGGGCCAGGCCCAGCTGCTGGGCTCTGGGGTGGGCTCTATCCTTCCCAGGATAGGGAACAGGTACAGGAGGTGTTGAGGCAACCCCCACCCCCAAGCAGGAGGGTCAGAATGCAACAGACAGCACAATGATAGGGGAGAGGGAAGGGCCAAGAAGGTAGAAAGAATCTCAAGTCAAGAGGCCCAGGGGCATCCAGAAGCCCCGTGGGTAGGGAGCAGCCTCCAGTTGGCGAGATGCTGGGAGAGCCTCAGCCCCACTCCAGTCCAGAGACAAAGGCTGGAGGTTGTAAAGTCTGGCAGTTTGTTCTGCAGGTCCATGTGTCCATCCACCACCCAGGCCAGCCCTAAGCTTCCCTTGGCCTTTATGCCTCAGCCCTATGGGGCAAGAAGGAGGCCGCCCTTCCAGCCACCAGTGTCTGCCTGGGCCACCTTAAGGGGGCCTGTGATATGGGCCCTCTGGTCCCTGAAGCTGGGGGGAGGTGGGGTGGAAGGATAGGGGGAGTCGGGGCACCTGTCCCCAGGCAGAAAGAGGGTGGGGTGGGGTATTGAGGACAGGGGAGGGAGGACAATGGGAGGGGATTATTATTGTCCGGTCAAGGAATGATTCCTGTTAAGTAGAATTGGAATTCCTCAGTGTTTGCAGATTTCCTTCCAGTTCTGAGATCTGGAAAACAAGGATTGGTGGTCAAGCTTAGGCACCAAACATGACCCTGCTCCCTCTGCCACCCCAGTGAGGAAATGACCCTGAGCTCCCAGCCAGCAGCATCCTGGGGTCCACAGGTGCTAGCTGGAGCAATCATGCTGCTCCCTTCACAGAGCCCTGCCCCCAGGTTACCGTTGAGCCTACCTTGTCCAGGAGCTTGTCCATTTCCTCCTTCCGGGCTAGCTCCGACTCCTCCAGAACCCGTCGCTGTGCAGTCTCCTTTTTCAGGAACTCGATCTCCCTGGAGACAGGTGATGGACAGATGGTGGGTAAGGGTATGTGGTCTGGCTTCTGTCCAGGGAAGAATCAGGGTCCGCATCCCTGTCCTCTGATCCACTGCCAGCTCTGCTGCGCTGCTTCTTAGGTCAGGAGGTCCCAGGTTTCCTAATGTCTCCATGGCCTGGCCCTGCGCTGCCTCTGGGCCCTAGTCATTCCAGGCCCAAGTACCCCATGGTGGGGTCCTCCAACCTCTGTGTTCCTTGTCTCCCTGCTCAGGGGAGGGGATAGGGACTACCACTGAAGGCAACTCAATACTCCTGGGCCCAGGACCCACAGCCTCCTACCACGTACTTCTGCTGGTAGTCCTTGATGAGGCGTTTGGCCTTGCTGTACTTGCGCTCCAGGGCCTGGTACTGGGCCTGGGTCTCCCGCAGGTGCTCGTCCACAGCCTGGCACAGGCTCTGGGCCTCGCCCCAGTAGCCCTCCAGTTTCTCCATGCGCTCCTTGTTCTCCTCCACACTCTGCTCCAGCTGTGCCTTCTCCACCCGCCAGCGCCCCTTCTCCTGCTCCAGGCTCTGCAGCTGAGAGGGAGGATTGGCCCTGGGTTGGTGTGGGCCAGAGGGAGCTCAAGGGCATCCCCATCTGGCACTGGGGCCAGAATCTCCTGAGGATTCCTGCAGATATGGAACCCACTGACCCCCAACTACTTATTCTCCTTGGCTGAGCCTGGGAACTGAAACCCAGAGGGAGAAGACATAGGACCCCAGCCTCAGGGTTCCTAGCCAGAGTCCCTGTCACTGCACCACACTCCCAGGGAGGCGGGAGGCCTCTATTAGTCACTGACTAGTTCTTACAGCTCAGTCTCAAACCTCAGCCCTCCCATCTATAAAACAGTAATGACAACTGCCACCACTGCCCCCCGCCCCCAGCTTGCAAGGGAGCTTTTAACACAGATGAGATGGAAGATGTGAAAGATGTCACATCAGCAATGGTGAGGGTCATCACTGCTCTCTGTCCTTTCTGCAGTCCTGGCCGCTGAAGTTTCTGGGGCTTCTTGAACAATCTAGTCTCTCCTAGGTCCCAGGTAACTTTTGGTCCCCAACAGCTCAGCCTTTGTTCTCTCCACACATACTACCTGGGGCAGAGACCCACCTCCCTCACCACCTCTGTGTGCTGAGCCCCAAATCCCAAGCTTCAGCCCAAATTCACTCCCAATTTCCAGCTCTCCAATTACTGGAGATCAGCTCCAGTCCTATCTCCCAGCTCCTCTTAGGCACCATGCCCCAAACCAGAGTCCCCATCTGCATAAACCAATGCCTCCTTTCTAGACTTTCTCACCTGTTTGAAGGCACCACCATTTTAGTCACCTCAGAAGCAGCTACTTTGTTCTCTGTGCCCCATCCACACAAGTCTTCCTATAGACCCTCAGACTTGCCAAAGGGCCTTTGCACATGCTGTTCCCTCTGTGGGGAATGGCATATATTCTCTCTGGCTAGTTTTTCCTCACCAGCTTGTCCCATGCTCTCTACTCCATCTGTCACTGCCCCAGAGAAGCTCCCTGTGACTCTAGCAGCAAAACATGGCCCATTCTCACCTGGGCCAAGTTTTTTCTGCTCTAGGAGCTTATTAGCCCTGTCTACTCCTACAGAGTCCCATGTCAGCTTGTAACAACAGTCACTGGTGTGCAGACTCTAAGCTGCATGAGGACACGGACCAACTCTGCTTTTGCCCATCATGATGAGTGACTGGAATAGTGTCAACCATCTAGAAGTAACTTGATGGATGTTTGTAAATTGGAGGCCCCTTAGGTCAAATACAGCTTGTGATCCCAGAGACTCAGGAGGCTGAGGAAGGAGGGTCACAAGTTCAAAGCCAGCCTCAGCAACTTAGTGAGGCCCTAGGCAACTCAGCAAGACCCTGTCTCAAAAATAAAAAAGACTGAGGATGTAGCTCAGTGATAAAATGCCCTTGAGTTCAATCCCCAGTACAAAAAAAACAAAAAAAACCAAAAAAAACCAAAAACCCAAAAAACCTGAAGGCCCTCTTGCTCTCTGTGACCCTGGACAGAACTCTGACTTGCCCCCCCCCCAAATGCCCTGCATACTCCCAGGAACATGGCCTGTCAACTCAATCCTGGAAATGAGGTTCTGACCCACCTTTCCTTTCCACACCCCTGACTTGTATCTGGGTAGTCCTGGACCACTCTAACAGGTATTGCCCAGGCCTCCAACCAGTTTGCCAGCCTCCAAGTCCTTTCTACCCTCACATCCTCCCACTTTTTGAGCAGTGACATTTTGAAAATCCCCAGTGACTGCACAGCCCCCTGTCATCTGTAGCCAAGGCTAGAGTCCTTAGAGGGAAGACGGCACACTGCTGGGCACAGCCCACTCTAGTCCAGCCTGCCCACATGACTGCCCTGCAGCCTGACAGCCTTCTCCCAGAGCCAGCCTCCAACTTCCAGCTTGTCTCTCTGTGAGGAATGCCCTTGCTGTGCCTCAGCCACTTACATCCTGCCCACTCCATATATAAGTGGGAGTGAATGCACACGTGTATCTGGGTGTGTTGGGTCCACGTGGCCCCTGTAGACCCATCTCTCCCAAACTAGAAAACTTGTGGGGGTGCAACTCCTTCAATGTGAAGTCTGTGTATCTATGCCTGCAAGAGTGCTGGCACCCAGTGTTCTTGTAAGCATCTGTGCATGGACATATGCATGTTTGTATGTCACATGTCACCAGCTGGTGCTGTCAGCATTAGCATCTGTGATGCTTGCTCAGGTGAAAATATGCATGTCCCAAGCCAGGTGCTCTAAATGATGGTCTCACCAGTGTGTCTCAGAGCACTCAAGGGCAGTGGGTCCACGTATCTTGCTGATGGCCTTGGGTAGAATGTCAGGAAGCACAGGTGCGTTGTCCTGTGATTAGGACTCTGCAGAGGGTGTGTGTGTCTAGGTGTCTGGGTCTGTGAGTACCATGTACCTGGGTTAAGGCTGGCACATATCAGTGTGTGTTCCTTTGGTAGTGTGTATTTGGCCTGTACATGGAGGAAGTGTGTTGGACAATGCAAACCAAGACATCTAGAGCTCAACTTAGCTGCTCCACTGTAACAGCTAACACTTGACTTTTGACTGATCACCTCCTGTGTGAGGGACTGTGCATTATCTCATTTAATCCTCACCAAGCTCCTAGGTGCTGCTAGTATTTTTACTCCATCTTTTTTTTTTTAATCGATGGACACAATACCTTTATTTTATTTGTTTATTTTTATATGGTTCCGGGGATCGAACCCAGTGCCTCATGCATGCTAGGCAAGCACTCTACAACTGAGCCACAACCCTGGCCCCATTTGTGCCCCATCTTAACAGTTGAGGAGATGGAGGCCCAGAGTGGCAAATGAACGGTGCAGCAGATGGGGTCCGAGCTCGAGCTCTCAGTCTGCATTCCCTCACCTCACAGCAGTCTGCTCCATGAGCACCTGTGGCCATGGGTGGAGTACGGGTATCAACTGCTGCAGGTGTGAGGGGGGATCCTCCCTCCGGCCCCCAGGCCTGCCCCTCAACACACATGCAGACGCACACACGAGCACACCTGCACACACATGCACCCTCACCTTCCTTTTCAGCTGCTGGATCTCTGCCTCGGTTACAGCATGCTTGATCTGGAGCTGCAGGGCAGAAGGGGTGGTACTCAGCTCAGCAGGGCCACCACCCAGGGCCACCACCTTGTGCCCTCCTCCTACCTCTTTGAACTTGTGCACCAGCTTCTCAGGCTCCATGTCCACAGGAGACAATGCATCTTCATTCTCTGCTAGCTCAAACACCTCGATGGCCATCTCGCCACCTGGGAACGTGGGGCTCAGCTCCTCATCCTCGTCAGTGGCATATTCCCCTGTCTGTGAAGGGAGACAGGTGGCCGTGGGCCCTACCCACCCCAGCTGTTCAGCAACCTGTGACCAGAGCTGAGACCAGTAGCTGTCTGCCCATGTCATACTTGGAGCTAGCCAGGGGTGGGTTCATGCCTCCCTCAATAGCCCAGGGAGTCCCCTGAAGGACTAGTAGTTTCCCCATAAGACTAGGACCCTGAAAAACAGCCCATACTGTGCCCTTCACAGTATGGGTCCCCTGAGGTCTGTACCTGTCTCCCTCCTTAGATTAGGACCCCTGAGGTCAGGGGCTATGTCCTACGCTCAGAGTGGGGACTCTGCGAGGGACCAGGAAGGCTCTCTGAAGACAAAGGGTGTAACTCTTCCATCAGACTAGGGGTTCTCTGAGTGAAGGATCTGCTTTTCCTCCCTCAGACCAGGGCTCCACAAGGGGTTTGGGCTTCTTTACCAGGCTTGAGAAAGCCTAGGAGGAGACGTCTGTACTGCTTCATCTGGCCAGCAGAGGGCAACCAAGCCACCAGGCAGGCCCGGAGTCCCTACCTCCTCATCATCCTCCCCATACTGGGCGTATCTCTGCTCCATCATCTCCCGCTGCCATCGCTCTTGTTCCAAGGTCTGCTGAATTAGCTGGGCTACTTCACTCTGCTCTCCCGGCCGCTCCCGGCCAATCATAAACCTGCAGGGGCACCAGTGTCATCCCCTGCCTATCTTCAGCTGGTAATGCCAGCATCCTCCCTGCTAGTGCTCCCCTCTCCAGGCCCAGGCCCTCCCAGGGGAGGTGAAATGAGAGGCTGAGTCCAGAGGTTGCAGTGTTAATAATGAATGGAGGAACTGGGGGGCCTTACTGAGTTTCCTTCCCAGAGGAGGCAGGAAGGCCCACTAGCCCTCCTGGCCAGTTAATGGGAGGTGGATATCAGCCAAACTTTGGGCTGGACTGCAGAGGACATAAGCTCAGGAGCTGCCAGCATAGGGGGCTCTCTCACTACCATGTGAGAAAAATGAGGCAGGGGAATGGCAAAGTTGACCCATCCGGGAGGGCTGGGGCTGTGGAGGTGTGTCTTGGGTTGGCTCCAAGTCCCTGAACTTCAGGAAGGGGCGGGATGATGCTAACTGAAGATTAGGATGGAGAGGAAACAGTGGAACTTCCAGGCACCAGCCCCTCCTCCCATGGCTACCCACATCCTGTTTCTCTCCACCACCCTTTCCTGGGGGTAGTGCCCCTCTTATAGGGGGAAGGGAGTGATCCTTAAATGTTATGCCAGAGATGAAATGGACACAGGGAATTTGGAACCTAATCCCTGGGTTTCTGGGTTCAGGGAGCAGTCTTCCCAGGATTGCTTGGGGCAAGCTGGGAGGGTGGTTTGAAGTGCAGATGAGAGGAGCCCAGTTTGATTGGCATTCACCCTGAACACCTTGGTTCTTTAAAGAGTGAGTCAGAGACAGGCAGGGGAAAGGAGAACAAGCCCAAGTGGACAGGATGGAGGGGCATGGGTGGGGGGCCTAGAAACCTGAGTATTGGTGGCCAGCAGTGGCCAGGGAGCTCAGGGTATAAGGCAGGCCTGGAGCAGGGGACTATGGACACAGACATTTTTGCAGATAGGGAGCCAGTGAAACCTTGACTGGAAGTGAGCAGGTGGACAGAGTAGCCACATGAGGGCCCAGCCTCCTGCCTGCTCCCATCCCACCCTTCCCCACCCCTTGGGCTCTCACCGCACTCGGCCCTTGGTGTTCCTGAGCACGGAAGCTGCAAAGCTCTGGGTCACTCCCACCAGACTCGTTCCATCCACTTCCACCAGGAGATCATTCACCTGAATCCTAGGGGAGGTGACATTGGTTAATGGGGATTATAAGGGGAACTGTGACCCTGCGGCAGAGATGAACCCCTCCCATCAGAAACCTGAGGTGTTTTGTCTACCTGCAAAATATTCATGATATCAGGGGATTAGGTGTTGACCAGGCCCACCTGGTGAATAGGAAGACCTTGGCAAGCCAACCAGACACAGGTGTCTAGGACTGGGAGAGGCGGCAGGTACACTTCCTGTAACAATCACACTCTTGCCCCCTTTTCCATCACATTCAACAGAGTGGTGTGACATCCTCAGAGTTCACCTCTGCCATGCATACATGCCCCATGCTCCCCTCTTACATGGACATTTCTGCCCAGACCTGAGTCCTCAGACATTTTCTCAAAAGTCTCAGATCTGAGCAGCACCCTGGTGCTCACCCACACTGACAGAGGTACATCCCACAGGCACTCCAGCTCTGCCTCCAGAGGCCCTGTCCTCCACTCAGGGCCGAGATGGTGTGATGGAGCCTGGACTGTCACAGTCGGTGGGGACTTGAGCACCTCCTTCCCCCACTCTCACCTCTGTCTGGAGAACTGCAAGCTTTCTCTCGGAGCTCCCCATGGAAATGGAGACACAGCCTAGCACAAACAGCTGGCCCCACAGGTCCCAAGCCCACACATGGCACGAGCTTACGGACACACTCATGCACACACACACTCCCCAATCAGCAGGTGACAATGAGTGAGGATCTGGAAAATTCAAATTGGAAGGGAGAGGAGGTAAATAAAAGAGCAGGGGGCCGGGGTTGTGGCTCAGTGGCAGAGAGCTCGTCTAGCATGCGTGAGGCACTGGGTTCAATCCTCAGCACCACAGAAAAATAAATAAAATAAAGGTATTAGGGCTGGGGATGTGGCTCAAGCGGTAGCGCGCTCGCCTGGCATGCGTGCGGCCCAGGTTCAATCCTCAGCACCACATACCAACAAAGATGTTGTGTCCGCCGAGAACTAAAAAATAAATATTAAAAATTCTCTCTCTCTCTCTCTCTCTCTCTCTCTCTCTCTCTCTCTCTCTCTCCTCTCTCACTCTCTCTTTAAAAAAAAAAAAAAAAGGTATTAAAAAAAAGAGCAGGGACTGTCCACCCTTTCTGTTCTCTGTCCCTCTCCATGCCACCAGGGCCACAACAGGCAGAAACCCTCTGAATGGGGAACTAGGTTCTACCAACATGACCCCAAGGTCAGCCAGCCCTCACAAAGACACCTGCTCATCTGTCACAGGAGAGGGTCTGGGTTTGGGGGTGCCACCACCGAGGACTCCTGATGCCAAGCTCTCACTTACAATCTCCCTTGGGGGTGCCAACAGCACTGCTCACCTACACCCCACCTCCCCCCTGCAGCATAAGCACAGGAGAAGAGCTGGCACAGGTGTGACCCTGTTGGCCCAGAGCTCCATGAAACCCTCCCTGGTCCCTCTGGCCCACAGAACTTACCCTCCACCACAGATGCTCAGCACAGGCACACACGACACAGACAAAGAGCAGCCCCACCCCCAGAGCGCACCCCAGCTGGTCTCAAAACACCAACACCAGGATCCCCCTGCCTGCCTTCTGCTCCCCTGCCTGGAACTTCCTGCCCTTGCTGGGCCTAGCCAACTCCCATCCAGCCTTCCGCTCTCAGCTCCCATGTCACTTCCTCCAGGAGGCCTTCCCTGACTCCCGGAGAAATCAAGCCTCCTGTGTTCTACCTTTATGTAATGTTCTCCATCTGCCACTTTCTGTGTGTCCCTTGTCTGGTGTCCCCTTTACTACACTGCCTGCTTCCTGAGGGCAAGGCTCTCAACACTGACTTCGTGGGGCCAGGCACCAGCCCACGGACAGCCAGGCACACTGTATTTATTTGGTGAAAGAAATGCCCCAACGTATCCAGAAAAACAGCCCATGCTCCCGGTACAATGCCAACACACACAAGAAGACACACAGTCACCATCTTCACCAAGCCTCCTCTAGAATGTCAGCACCATAAGCGAGGGGTTCCCATCTGTTTGTCCACTGAGCATCCCTGGGGCCGGGCACAGCACCCGGCAGCACAGCGCTCCACAACATCTGAACCACACAGAGCGCACAAGCTCCCAGGAACAGCCTGTCCCCCCACACAGTGGCTTGTTCCACAGATGACGTTGGGGAGGGGGTTTAACAGGAGTGGGGAGGTTGGGGGTGGTACCTGCCATCCCGATGGGCTGCGCCACCTTCCGTCACAGTCTTGACAAAGATGCCCAGCTTCTCCAGGCCCATGTCGGCCCCAGCCCCCATGCCGATGATGCTGATGCCCAGACCTTCAGAGTCTGCTGGACAGAGGGGCAAGATGTCAGGGACAGCGGGACATCCTTCAATCTGAACCCTCACTTTAGGGAACAGCTCCCCTCCAGGAGGCTGTCCTCAAGCTTAGAGGACGTCCCCCAACTGGGACAGGGGCATGGTTCTGTCTACCCCTCTTTGCCAGGACACCAAGAATGGCACTTGGCTCATTCCCTCCCCTTTGCCCCTTTTAAAGAGCTCACAGGCAACAGAGTGTGCCAAGGGCAGTGGGAGTGAGAGACTACTACACATGCAGATAAGAGCACATGGCCGGATACTACAGTGACGCAGCCACGTCATGCTTATAGCAGCACAACACACAAGAGCTAAGCTATGGAGCTAACCTAGTGCCCTTCAACAGATGAACGGATTGTGATATATACACACAGTGGAGTGTTACTCAACCAGAGAGGACTGGAATTTTGGCATTTGCTGATAAATGGATGGATCTGAAGGCTATGGTGCTAACAAAATAAGCCAAGACCCCAAAAGTCAAAGACTGCATGTTTTCTCTGATATGTGGAAGCTAGTCCAAAGTAAGGGCAGAACTGGGGGGGGAACTGGGGGACTCCATTAAAATACAAGAGAGATGGGTGGACTAGATGATGGGGATCGAGTTGGAAGGAGGAGGGATGGGATAAGGGAAGATAATGGAATTAATCTGACCTAACCTTCCTATGTTCCTATATGAATAGACCACAGTGAATCTCACCACTGTGTATACCCACAAGACACTGTTTAAAAAACACTAAAATTAAATAGCAGAAAGATTAGTAATGAGAGAGGATAGGGAAAAAAAGGGAAGAGGGAAGGGAAAGGGCAAGTACTGGGCACTTAATAGAACAAACTGTATTCCATGCTTTTACTATTATATCAAAGTGAGTCTTAATGTTATGCATAACTAAAAAGACCCAATGAAAAGGGAGAAAGTGTGTGGCTGGAATGGGGTCTATGACAGGGCTTGGCCTTAATCCTTTTGGTCCCTCTCCAAGCAGTCTCATCTATACCCAGAGCTTCACTGACCAAAAACCTTGTTTTCTCTTGCCTACTTCCTCAGCCACAGTGGTCTGGTCTACCTCATGGGCCTCTGATATCCAACCTGGTGACCTTCCCTCCCTCAGACACTCCTCCAGGGGCTGGCACCACCACCCTCCTACTGCCAGACCTGGGAAGCACCCCACCCCCTCATAGCCTCTGATGAGCCAAATCCCACCAGGCCCTGTTGATCCCCCACCCCTGCTCTGCCGACACCTGGTCCACGCCACAGTGGTCTCTCCATTCACTGCTGATCCTGCATCACAGCCTGATGTGGTCTTCCTTCTAGAATACCTTCTCCATGCCCTGCAATAGCTCCCAGTCCATCCCAGGGAAAAGGCATGGTCTGGGGGCCCTGTCTTCACACCGTTCCTGCTTTCACTGTGAAAATGCGTCCAAGCCCCTCTTCTCTCTCCCTCACCCCCTGAGTTCCTTCTCTTCAAGCTCACTCAAGTGTTGCTCCCTTATGTACTGCCCGCTCTCTGGTCAGGTTCTGTTAAATGCTTTTACAGTAGCAACCCTCTCTTTCCACCTGTTACGACTCCTAAGGACACAGTGGCAGCTCATCTATGTCTACTCCCTGTTGTCTCCCTGAGGGGACACCTCCCTGAGAGAGGGAGCCTGGTTTGGCCTACCACCAACCCTCCAACAGAGCCCAGGGTCCAGCACATGGTGGTTTGTTAACTGGATGAGTGGGGCAGGGAGCGCCCCCGCTGAGCTGGAGTGCATGAGCAGCTGTGGGGCACTCCTGAGGGAGGCCAGATAGGGCTGCCAAGGGCCCAAGTTGGAGGAGAAGCCCAGCATGCTTGTGAGAGCCCCGGAGTGCTGCTCGGAGGCTGGCACCAGAGAGGAGCCTAGGTGAGCCCAGGTGGCCTAGACCAGGCCTCTCACCCTTCTCCAGCTCCACAGGGAACAGCTCCAACCTCTCCACCCGCTTCTCCAGTTCATATTCTGCAGAGGCCGCCATGGGATCCACATCCTCATTGCGCCGGTCATAGTCCTCGTTGGAGTAGGTGCTGAATACCTGGGGAAGGGCAGCTTGTCAGAGGCCCCAAGAGGGCAAGGGCAGAGCTGGCATGAAGAGGCTGAGCCCCACTGATGCCCCCTGCTCCCCTCCTGCCACAAGCCTTTCCCTTATCCTCATCCCCCAGTCCCGGGATGACCCCGGCTCTGAGCAAAGTTCTTGAGCCTGAAGCAGGGGCAAAAAGAAAGGCACCCAGCCTGCCTCAGCCACACTGCAGCCAGAGCTAGTGCAGCAGGCCTGTGCAGAGCAGACGGGCACTACTGGAGGGACTGTCAGGCTCAAGAACCTAGACACCCAGAGCAGAGAGAGAGCGAAGGACAAGACCCAAGGGTCAGACAGGTGAGGGTGGACATAAAGACAGAAAGATGGGAACAGCTGAGCAAAGAGGGAGAGGAACGGGGATAAAGGATGGCGACTGTGCTGGAGGACGCCAGATGTGGGGTGGGGGCAGGAGGGAGTGATTAGAAAGGCAGACAGGACCCCACTCTGCCCTACCTGAGGGGGACTGGGGGTAGGGGAGGGAAGCAGGAAAGATCCTCTGTACTCCTATGGAGAAGGTCAGGCCCTCCAACCCCAGGGGCCCTCAGGGGCAACAGCAAAGGCAAAAGCTGGCCCCTACGCCCAGGCCTGTGTCCCTCTGGATTGGCTGCTGAGTTGTGCTTCCTGTGCACCAGGAGACCCAGGGAGAGACCCTAGGACCCATGCCCTGAGAGGACCAGGGATCCTGGGGAAGGGGCAGCCTCTCTGCCTCTGCCATGGTATCCTCTGTGTCTCTCAGCTGTCCCCCTCCTCCTAGGTCTCTCTGTTAAGAAGAACTCCCCAGCTCCCCTCTTCCCTCAAAGGACCAGAGAAGGGGCAGGACTCTGTGGGAGTGCTTGGTTCTGGTCACAGGCAGGGTGCCCCCATGGGAGTGTAATGAGCACTGTTTGGGGTTCCATGACTTGCTTGGCTTCACTGCCTGCGTTGACAGGTTGGCACTACTTGGAGCCAAGTGGGGACAGGGGAGGGAAGGAGCAGCTCTAGCAGCTGGCTGGGCCTGAGGAGCTGCAGTGGGACAGCATCTCCCCCAAGGACCCTGCCAGGGCCCCCTCTGCTCTAGGAGCCGGCCCCATGGGCACTCATGTCCCAGCCTTTGTTTGGGCTTGCTCCATGTCATCCCCACCCCCAACCACAGAGGCTCCCTGGCATGGTGGAAGGGGGAGGGGCACTTATAGGACTAAATAGAAGCATAGCTGGGAGGGGCCTATGTGGTCACTTAGTCCAATGCCCTCAATTTCACAGCCTGAAAGGCACTCAGGATCAGGCCCATGGGGATCATCTGGCACTGTGCAGTGGTAAGTGGGCTGTTTTCCCAACATCTGTCAGAATCCCAAGCCCCATGGAGGAAAAGGACACCCATTCCACATATAATCCAAGACGCTGGGTCCGCTGGCCAAGTCACAAGGGTTAGTCAGTGGCTGGGCAGGGTGGGACCATACCAGCTGGGCTCTGGCAGGTGGGTGACTAGTGACTTTGTTCCCATCACACAAGTGCTCCAGGCCTTGGGACAGGGGCTGCGGTAAACCTAGACTCACTTTTGCATCTGAGGTCCCTTCACCTCTGCTCCAGGGGAGAGGGTCTTCCATTCCTTTCCTGGATACCCCACTACCACCACAGACATCCCACTGAACCCCTAACACACCTTTCCATCTTGTCATGGGTTTTGCCCTCCTGTCTTTCCTCAGCTTATCAAACCTGTTCATTTTTCTTTTTTTCTTTCTTTCTTTTTTTTTAACTGGGGATTGAACCCAGGAGCATTTTACCACTGAGACATATCTCCAGTCCTTTTTATTTTTTGAGACAGGGTCTCCCTAAATTGCAGACAGTCTCACTAAGTTGTTGAGCCTGGCCTCCAATTTACCATCCTCCTGTCTCAACCTCCCGAGTTGCTGGGATTACAGACATGTGCCATAGTTCCCAGTGCCTATTCACCTTTCAAATCCTGCCCCCTGCAGGAATTCCAGGCCTCAGGTTCAGAGGCCCCAACCCAATAACCCCTCCTATCAAATGGCCCTGGGGCCAGTCCCACCACCCAGGTGACAGTCTGAAACTACATTCTCTGTCATCCATGGAATACTCTGCTTCCATAAGGGCAACAACTGGGTCACTGGAGGGAGAGGGAACCCTGGACTAAGGATCAATGCAGGGTTGGGGGCAGGGAGAAGGAACCTGCAGCCCCTGCATCAGGGGGAATAGGAGAAAATCCCCAGCATAGCCAAAAGTCACTCAGCGCCTACATAGTGCCCTGGCTCTCATGCAGGGCGGCCAGTCTCACAGTCACTAGGGAGTCGGGAAGCACTGCTCTAAATCATGTGCTATTTTTTACCAAAAAATCAGGGTAAGGTGTCAGATATAGACAGAGGCCCAGACCTCACTCCATCTCTGAGGGCTTCCAACTGCTGGTGGGGGCAGGGGTGGGGGCCTCCTGACTCTCTCCCAAGAATACCACATCTTTCACTCACTTCAGGATCCCACTGCCTTCAGAGGGGACAGTGGATGGAAACGGCTCCTAAGGTCCGAGCCAGGGCAAGGGGCAGGCCTGGGAGGAGAATAACAGCCACTCTCCCTTAACCTTTTACTTAGGCTCTTGCTAGGCTGGGAGGTGAGAGAGGGCAGAGGGTGAGAACCCTGAGCAGGGAGAAAAACTTGGGCAGTTTCAGTGTCCAGGAGTAGTTATGGAAACTGCAAGCAAACAGATGGGTCTTGGCTGGGGAAGGTAAAAACTGGGCAGGGTCCAGGCCAAGGAGAGTACTTCCACTGGGCAGACCTGGGGCCAGGCACAGATGAGTCTGGGGTGGTGAGAAACAACAAGGCTGAATGTGCCAGACAAAAGTGGAGGGCAGTGGGGTGGGGGGCTCGGGTTCTTACTTCTTCCCAAGAGACATCCCCTCCTCACCAGCACTACTTTGAGGATCTCAGAGCACAGGCACAGCCCACAAACCAATTACCAACAGTGGTGGTGAGGATGGGAGTGCAAATTGAGACCCCCCAAAAGGGGAAGTTCCCGTCAGGGTACTCAAAGAATGTGGCAAGAGCATTTGGGGCCTGCTAAGGCCACTGGAGTCTGCTCTATGGAGCAGCCAAGAGCAAAGGCTTGTGGGCCTCTGCCAGGCACCCTGGGGATCTCCCAGCCCCACCCCTTCTCCTTCAAGGTCTGCAGAAGGCCTTCCCCCTCAAGGGTAACGCGAAGTTTCCCTTCCCTAGCAATGAGGGACCTGGGAAGCCAGCCCAGCATAGACCCCAGGGAGCAGAGCCCCAGCGCCAGGGTCTTTCCCTCAGCCTCAGTCACATGTCCATGGCCCAGTTCACCCTCAGGACCCGCTTCCCTCTTTCACTTCTGCAAAGTTGGGGTGGGAGTACAGAGGAGGAGGAGGGAGGAAGGGACACCGTCCAGTCCCCTGCATCTTTGTTTTGGAAAGTTTCTGACTCCCTACTCCCTCACCAGACTTAGCTCCCCTACAGGGGACAGCAGCAAGTGTTTCTAAGCCCCCTGACCCCCTCTTTCTCCAAATGGAACAAGTCATCTGTGGGGAGTGACTCCTGAGGACTCCCACGCCCTTTCACACCATCCAAGTCCCAGCCTCTGGCAGGCTCTGGAGGAAGGAATGTCTGGGAGAGGAAGGGAAAGCAGGTGTCCCAGAGCCCACACGGGGCAGGGCCGGTTCTGCTGGTGCTAGGCGGGGCTGCAGGCAGAGGAACCTGAGGGCAGGTCCGGGCAGGTCGCCAGGTCACAGACCCGAAAATCGAAAATCGCCTCCCTCTGACAAACAGCTGGAACTCCCCCACGCCCCCCTCAGGGTGGGAACTTCTGGGAAGGGGGCTGGGTGGCAGGGGCTGACTCAGCCTGCCAACCCCCCGCAGGCGAGGCGGGGGCGACCGCGTGCACGTGGCAGGGGCGGCGCGGGCAGCAGGGGGTTCACTCACTTGGATCGGCGCGGTGCTGAAATGGATCTTCCGGCTCGGGACCGGGTCCTCCTCCTCCGAGAGCCCCGGAATCTCCACGCACCCCGACTCGGGCTCATAGGGGGGCTCCGCGTCTTCCTCGTCTTCTTCATCGTCCTCCTCCAGGGCACTACCCCCAGAGTCCTCCCCGAGCCCACTGTAGGCGCTCACGTCCACCAAGTCCGCCTCCGAGAAGTCCTCCTTCTTGGACTCGTCTGCCTCCTCTGGGGCCACGTCCGGGACCCGCCCATTGCCCACTCCCCTCTCTGGCGCTGCCACTGTAACCGCCTCCTCCTCGGGGGCTGCTTGGGCCTTGGGTTCCTCGGGTGCCGGGCTGGCTGTGGTTCCCGAGGTGCTGCCATTCTCCAGGGCCGCATGGACCGTCACCTCGGCCTGGATCACTTCCCCGGGCGCTGATTCGGCCTCCGACTCCCCGCTCTCCTCCACCTCCACCGGCTTAATCTTGCGCACCTCCCGGGGCTTTGGGGGCGGCCGGGCGGGGGCCACTCGGTGCTGCGGAGGCTGCTGCCCTCCCGGGCCGCGCTCTTTTTCGGCAGGGGCATCCCCCGACGGGGCGGGCGGTGGCGGCGGTGGCTGGAACACCCGGGACCGCTTACTGACCAGCTTCGAGTTGACCTGGGGAGCCCCTGCGGCCGCGGCCCTGGGGGGCCCGGGCCCACGGTGGAGGCCGGTCCTCGAGTCGGCCTTCTCGAAGACGGCGCTGAGCTGGCTGACAGTCGGCGACACGGCGTCGGCGTCCAGCTTGTCCAGCGCCTCGGTGCTGCCGTTAAAGCGCACCACGACGTCCAGCTTCCGGTCCTGTAGGCCGGCGCGCTCCTGCCTCA